TTACCGGGTGTCGAAGGTGTGGGGTACGAGCCGAGGGCTCGGAGATGGCAGGGCTGAGCGTCACTCCTCGTATGCCCGGTGGATTTTATCCGGGTTTCTGTGTTCTCCCCTCCCCTCCACAACAATCAAGCACTCCTTCATGATATCGGCCAAAGTATCCAAATGTAGCAGGCAGGACTCTCCTGGCTAAGAGACTTCAGGCTCAGTGAGGCTTTCTCGGGCAATTCCATGGCAGAGGTCGCCGGTTCAATCTCCCAGCGCGGGTTATAGCGCAGTCATACACGGGTTATCCTACAGTTATACACGGGTTACACCAAAGTGGAAGAGTAGACACATTCCCTCTAGACCGGGCACTCCAGAACTCTCTCCATTGGAGCCCCCTTGCCGCCAACGGGCGTGCAGTTGCAGGGCTGCACCTCTATTTGATCCCTCGGTACGAGTTATTATTATTATTGTTATTATTATTGTTGTTATTGTTGTTGCTGAGCCCGTTAATCGTGGACGTGTTGTTGAGTTACACTCCGCTGGCCGGGCATGACCTAAGTGGGGCCCGAGACATTTTTTGCACTCTGGAATCCAGACCCCCCCCCCCCTCCTACACCATCCCCCCGTTCTTGGCAAGGACTGCGAAGGCAATTAATGCATCCTCAGAGACACAGAGAGAGAGGGCTTGGAGGAGAGAGGACTTGGAGGAGAGGGGGGAGGGTCGAGAGAGCTCCAATAAAACACGAGCACCCCCGCCAGCAGTGCGGGCGCGTGCACCCCGAGTCAGGCGAAAGCTAATTCACTCCTGACACCAGCGAGATGTCCACGTGGCCATGGGATGGTGAGTCAGGTATCATCATCAGTCGTATCATCATCGTTATCATAATCATCATCAGTATAATCAATATCGGTATCACAGTTATCAGTATAATCATCAGTTTCATCATCAGTATCATTATCGGTATCATCATCAGCAGTACCATCAGCAGCAGCCAATGTTTATCTACCGATGGATGAATGCCCCTCTCTCTCTCCACGGTGTAGCCATCCTCCACAGTGTTGCGATGTCACAATCCGCCTCGCCCCTGCACGCACGAAGCTGATCTCATAGGGCTCCATCGACTGCGGTGGTTTGGTTGGCCCTCTTGGGCAACGTTTGCAACTTTTGGCTCTCACGCCGTGACCAGTCTAGTTCCGCTGGCTTCCACCATCGCCTTCTCGCGGCGTCTCCTGCTCAAGCCCGCTCACTTTCCCCAAGAGTAAATGTCGTCCCTGATATTACCGCTGATCACATATCCGTGTGCGCCTCTCTTCCTGTCCCTCGACGTGAACCCCACCCACCAGGATCAAAGTAACGCGCCTCGCCACCCTCTTGAAGTCGCGCGATCCCTTTTGGACGCACGTCGCTTAACCTTCAAAAGTGCAACTACAGCCCTGCTTGTTGTTGATGAGGCTGAGGATGCTGCTGCTGGGAAAGCCAAAAAGGAATTCACAAAAAGTCACAAATAACCTCGTGAAAGACCCAACGATCCAGAAGATCCCTCCCTGGCTTCGATCTCTCCGCGAAACGTCTGGGGCCACAACCCCTAAACCGCTACCCACACACAAACCATGGCAACAGCAGATGCATCGGCTACTTGATGCAAAAGTGGCAAGTAAATAAGTAATATTTTTTTAACTTAAAAAAACACGCTTTTATGAAATGTACGAGTAATGGAAGAACTCCACGACTCCAGGAAGTGGCCCCGAAGCTTGCCATAACATAAGGGACCGTGGGCCAATTACAGCCAACGTCAGTTGACCGTGGACAATTAGACCCAAGCCGAAACATAACATATAATAAATGTTTAAAAATATATATTTTCATGATAGAATATAGTATTGTCATCAGTATGACATAAGTATACCAAGTTTGCAGTCGATACCACATTGGGAAGTTGGTTAAAATTGAGTTACAAGATTTGAGTTTACAACAACGACAACAACAGAGTGAGTTAAATGAAAGCGTGTAAAAAAAAACAACTCTCAGCGGTCAGTGCGCGACTGTGGTCACCCAGAACGGACCGTGGAACGCAGAAACACATTCCTGCGGAGGGAGCTGGTAGGAACGTTGGGTTGCTCGGTCAATGGCCAGGGTCAACGGCGGCACCACGTGGTGTATTCAGCAAATATGCCCGACTGTGAGGGCGGCCACAAGCCGGCGTGAGTAGGTTAAACGTTGAGTTTTATAAGGGCACCACGGGGTGACCAGCCCCTCCCCACCCAGCCCCACCCCTCCCACCCCCACCCAGCCCCTCCCCACCCAGCCCATCCCCACCCTCCCCACCCAGCCCATCCCCACCCAACCCCTCCCCACCCTCCCCACCCAGCCCGTCCCCACCTTCCCCTCCCCACCCAGCCCCACCCTCCCCACCCAGCCCCTCCCCACCCTCCCCTCTCCACCCAGCCCCACCCCTCCCATTTTTGGATGCACGACGGACGGACACAAGAATCCCCTGTGGGCTGGTGGTGTAACCAGGAGGTTCCTACACAGTATAACGACTCAATGCCCATATACGAAAGAAGGAGGAGGCATCATCACAGCGATGATGCGCCACCCCTCCCCGCTACTCCTGACGCAGTCACCCTCTGGCTCAACCATCTCAATGTGAAATGCGCGTCGTGGCCTCTACTCTAGCCAAATCAAGAAGTGCTATTCTATTCACGCTTCTTTGAAACCTCTGCACCTTTTGTTCCATGTTCATTCTCAGAAAGATCAAAATGTGCCAAAGGGATGATTAATCATAATCTTAGTTCTTTCGGTAAAGTCACGTTGAAGAGAAACAATAAAATAATAAATATATAAAGCAATAAAAATGATCACGACGTTTCGACCATAACACAAACGGTCGTCATCAGGTAAAGGATGATGAATCGTCACGATTCACGGGTCGCGATTTGATTCAATGATTATTATCAACCCTCTTTAAAAACACTGCGGTGATTGTATAGCGGCCTCCAGTGGCTGCAGGGGGCACCAAGTGTGACCCGTTTACGTACAAGAAGTATGGAGAGAGAAACAAAATTCCGTCAGATTCGTGCACGCGCGATTCGATACACGCAGCGTGAGGTTCAGCATTGCCGTGAATCGATTCATCGTCCCGTAAGCATCCGGTGAAACTGGCAACTTGCATGATTTCAAACGCCGCAGTAATATTGCTACATGCTGCCCCCTGCTGTTAGCAGAGCCTTCAGCAGAAGTTGGCCCGTGAAATATTTGGGGAGGGGAGAGACAGCCCAGGACGCCAGATTGGTTGTGGTCTGTACCCCCTACGGTGGCAAATGCTACCAGTGTCCACCACGGGCAGTGTGCAGAAAAGCCCTATTATCCGCAACTAATTCGCGAGCAATCACAGAAGTCAGGAAGGCCTGGCCAGGTAAAATCGCGGATCGGTCAAATCCCGTATACTCTATGTAAAGACATTACATATAATAGGGTCGCGGATAATCGACGTTTCGTCGGACAGAAACTGTGCTCTTAAGAACTGACGTGTCGGAATATTTTGATTGAACAGCTTCAAGTGATCTCATAGTGTATCTCGGTTGCGTGATTTACAGTTTCACCGATGTATCTGCCTTAACCCCTCTTTGCATTTCAACTCCCAGGTCTCCAAATGGTGCACATCTTAGGGTTCTCACCACGGTTCCAAAACAGGGCCCAGTACTCTTCAGACTCGAAATCAATTAAATCTCCTTCAATCAATAACCTGTCGGTTCCTTTAACATTCTACACATCATTTCGTTCATCTATCCATTCGTTCGTTCGTTCGTGCATCCACCAAACCGCTGATTGTGCAACCAAAGAATGTATTGATTAGAGGCTGACCGAAACTGAATTTCTGGCCGAAACCGAAACCAGAACGAAAGTTAAAAAAAAACTTTAGGCCGAAACCGAAAGTTTAACTCCACTGTCGACCGAGACCGAAAGGTATAACCGAAGTTACCGAACACAAGATTGATTAAATGTCATGATGCAATGCTACTTTAATTCAAAATAAATCTAGAACTAATCATTCATAGCCTGCAGTAAGAGTCGCTAAATATCAAATCTTTAGGTGTTATTTATTTAGTAATTATATCCAAACAAACGAATGTTGTAGTTAAGAAACAACAGTTTTTCCGCATTCAGCCAGAGAGGCTGCCGTCTGTTGACCGGTCGTATCTACATTAGCTGCTGACGTGTGTGTACGTGTGTGTGTGTGTTTGTGTGTACGTGTGTGTTTGCAGCCTATTGTATAGGATTGCCTAGCGCCGACTGACCGGCCGATAGGCAGAATGATAGACGTAGCACTAGCGTTATATTATAAAAATAGATCTTTGGTTGACTAATGACGACCGAAAGTCGATATCAGTTTCGACCGAAACTGAAAGTATGCCGAAAGAAGCCATTTGCCAACTTTCAGCGCCGAAACCGAAACCGAATTTCGGTCGGCCTCTAGTATTGATCGCAATTCATTCAACCATGAATGCATACCAACCATGCGTCTATGAAATTGATAAATCACTTTATTTTTCTAACTCAGTAATCAAACCATATATTAATTCACCAATTCACCCACCCTTCCATGCTATGTATTACCTATCCATTAATAATTAATTCACTCACTCCAATCCAATCCATGCATTCATTCATTATAAACTCATTCATCCACCCATTCATTCATTCACCCAACCACGAAAGCCGTGGGGGGGGGGGGGAGGATACACCCACATGGACCCACAACCCCCCGTGGATAAGAAGCTGCCAACCGATCATTTGCGTACCGCATTCGTTAACACATTCACCCGCTATTTCTGCCTTACTTGACGCAATCCACAACATTTGCATATTTGAAAAAAACAACCCTGCCTCATCCCAGTACATTAATTATTTGTACACATTTGAAACGAGATTAAACCAATACTTAAAATATTATAAACGTAGGTTTTGAAATTGTACCGTGACCACCACAACTGAATCGGGCGGCATTACGAAAGTGCTTGCGAGGAAACGGGCGGTTTGTCGCCCCCGTGCGTTGCAAAGGCCGTTTTCGCAAACTCCGCAACGCGTTAATCGCCAAATGTTTATATTTTTTTAATAAATATTAAACGTTCACTTTCCTCACGTTTGAGGAAATCACCTTCATCACTATTGTTACTGCCGTCACCGCGGCTCTTATCCGCGGTTTTTTTTATTGTTATTTCATGCGCCGTAACCTAAAGAGGCAGGCAGGCCTTTTCAGCTCATGGCGGAGTTTTTCGTTGCCTTCACCCCCTGAAGCGAGCGCGAGGTTCTGCCGAGCTGCAGGCGATTAATGAATGAGCGCTAATTAAAGGGGGCCGCTAAGAGTTGGATTGCTCGGCTTAATTGGTCTCGTCGTGGTTGTTTTATTGGGGGGGGGGGGGGGTGAGCGGATTTTAACTTGAATCGACATGTCCCGATCACTCAGGTACGTGAGCGGCAGTCGTCTCTGTGAGCTCGGTCACATTTTGATTTAAAGCTTTCGTGACTGCAGGGATTCGTATTCTTGGTTCTTTCGGTAAAGTCACGTAGAAGGGAAACAATAAAATAAAAAATGTGTTATTAAAATAATGAAAATTATTTTTATTATTAAAATAATATAAAAAATATCTTTAAAATAATAAAAAAATGTATAAAATATATAGTCAATAAAATAATAAAATAATATATATAAAACAAATTCTCACGACGTTTCGACCATAACACAAACGGTCGTCATCAGGTGTGTCGGTTTGCATCAATTTATTTTTAAACGGTGTATTTATAAAAAAAAAGTCAGCGCCACGCGCAGCGATTTGGCAGTTTATTTAGAAGGACTAGTCCATCTATGTTCTGAAAAGAGGAGGGGGGAGACGAAAAATTAATGTATGTTGTCTGAAAGCCACTGTAAGCGTGAACAATCAATTAAGACCTGAAATGGTTTATCAAATCTTTCCAATGATTGCTAAGCTAGAATCCATCTTCTCGGTTGAAATTGTCTCTGTGCATGTATATGTGGATAGCCTCATGAACGAATCTCTCATGGTAGCCAGATGGCTTACAAAGAATCTCTGTCTTGGAACAGCAAAATTAACTATCAACCGTGCTAATCGGAGATGCGATTGGTTTGGCGCATCGATGTTGATTGACCGATGGTGGGCCACACGCTGCGTCACGTTGACTGATCGGCAGAGTGCCACGTCAATCGATGACATTGATTGGTATGTGGGATCAGTTGGGAGAGTTGTTGGTGGGCTCCGTGTTAGGGCACTTCATTGGCATAGCTTTACGTTCATTGATTGGACTCGTGTCATGTTCATCGATTATGACGAGTTTCAATGCGGCGTCAATGTCATTGATTGGCAACTTGCTTCGCATTGTGTCATTGTAATTCAGTGCCACAGGTGTTCTTGGCAGTACAGCAAGTAGGCTCGTGAATCCGTGTACGTAATAACGTGAACTATTCCTTAATTAATCTGTAATTGTTTTTTTTATCCCAATGATTATTGCAGAATCAAGAAAGCAGTTGATTACACTCAGCCTAAGGACTTTGAAGACGATGGTGAGTAGAATGGGGGGGGTATCTATATATACATGATGTTTATGGGCAGATGACGTGATGGACAGTAAGTGATGGTTATGATTATTATATTGTTATTATGGTCATTGACTCGTTCGCTTAGTGAAATAATTAAAAGTCATTTCATTACCAAAGTTAAATAACAGATCCATCCACAATGGGGGCTACCGTGGGGCAATGGTGAGCACGATAGGCTTGCAATCCCAGAAGCCGCTGGTTCAATCCCATATCCCGGTGCGGCAAGTTAAAAAAAACGTGGCAAGTTTCTTAAATCTCCTCCCCACCTCTCTTCCACCCAGCAGTGTAAATTAGTTCACCACGGTTGATCGTGTGTGGTCGTGGAAAGTGTGGGCACTTTCCCACCTCTACCAATGTGTCTGACCAGCATGGAAGAGTAGGCAATTTACTCATTACAGCTCCCTCTTGTGGAGGCCCTTTCCACCAGCAAGTGAGTGTAAGGTTGCACCTTTACCTTTTGTACGTTGTGTGCATGTATGTATGTTGAACTTCTTTCGCACCGTACGTAGCCAACCTTGCTAATCGGATGTGCGCACAAGGGTGTAGTGCCACACGGTGATTTGGGCAGCCGTACTGTTTGTACGTTCACGTGTGCCAGTCAATGCATTCATCACTAAAATCCCACTGTAAACAATTGCCAGTTCCTGACTTTCATTACCGCGATTTGATTCTGAAAATGGTTATCGGTTTAACAACCCTGCGATGTACACGCATCAATGTCTCTGTGTGCGTGTGTGTTACATCACCACAGACGATGATTTCTCATCGGCCTCTCTTCCGCCAAGCAAAAGATCTCGGGTGGTGACCAATTCTGACGATGGAGATGGCAACAAGGCAAAGAGAAAGCCTGAAAAGAGGGCCTTGAGCGCAACCAAGAAGTCCAGTCAAGACACGGCCTTGAACACAGCAGCAAAAACAGCAAGAGACGAAAGGTAATAATAACAACATTTCAAAGAGTACATTATAATTGTGCCGTTACAGCATGTCATGAGATAAAAACATGTCCCTTTGGAACGCTCACCAGGCGGAGTGCATCGCCTCATCATTTTTTCCAGTTCAGCGTTTTTTGGATTGTTTTTGTTACATCTCATGGGTTCGCAGTTGCTTCCTACAGTCACTAGTAGCCACTACATTCACCTCAATGGTAACAAAATAACAGATTCTTGAGCCGAATTGCAATCCTAAATCGTGACAATCCATCAGGAGGGCAATTCCTTCCATGCCTAGTTTGGATTCCCTCCTTCCAGCTGATAACATTATTGCACCGCCCACACCAGCCACTGTGCAGTTGCCCACACCAACCTCTGTGCATTGTCGTTTGCAATCGCACTTTGCGCCACTCTGCGCAGACCATCCCTGGATGAGCGTCTCTTTGAGAGGGACCTCAAGAAGGTCCTTGCCCTCGCTGGCGATCAGGCGGAAATCGCCGTGTCTTCGCAGGAGAGTTCACAGGAAGCCATGGGCAGTGCCAACGTGAACACCGACGACGCACCCGGTATGAGATTCTACAAATTTGTGGCTTTCTGTATGTTTACACGTGTGTGGACATGTATAGTGCACACTGCCAACACCAGTAACGATTATATGAACCAGTCCAGGGCCTCTCCTAGGTCGACTGAGCCGCAAATGAGTACCTGGTGCAATTCCAGGCATGGTGCTGACCATCCACCCCCACGTGTTCTGTGCCGACCTTCATAGGTGCTCGCTAACAGCAGTTGCCACAATAGCCTGTGAATGGCTATACTGGGAATCTATGTGTTTGTATGATGGCGAAATGTTAACTACCTCGCCCGGTATGCAGGAGGTCATGGGTTCAATCCCTACCCTGATGCCTGTATATTTGGAGTTTGTATGTTATCCCCATGGTCACGTGGATTTTTCTCCGGGTCCTCCGGTTTTCCCCTCCACATTTAAAATCAACATGCATTTAGCATATTTGGCTGTTATACATTTCCACATGATAATAAGCCACTTGCGTGAGCTATCATTTGTGATAACCAAGTAGCTTCTGAAGAAGAGATATATAGCTCAGTGGGTCTTACTTGATAAAAAAGTGTGTAGTGCCACACCATGTTTAGTTTACATGGTCGTGCAAGGCCACTGATGCTGATTTGTTGCCCTCTGTTCAAACCAGAGGGCAACATCTTCTGCACCAAAGTTTCCTGCTGGCTTTTTCCTAAATTGTCTTCTTGATTTGTTTTTATAGTCGAGATACTTCGCGAGATACTTCGTGTCTAAATGCAACCACATTTTAAGATGTGGGATGAAGTAGTCCGTTAAAATTGCAGAGTCTCTATTTAAGGATCCGCACAACCATTACAACAAACAGCTCTTACCTTGCAGTTACACACATAGGCTGTGTTCTGGGCTGTCTCTTGTGATGCTGCAGCATCATTAGTGATAACAATTATCTTAAGTTGACTCTGCAGCACTATTACTATCGTACTATGCCTGATGTACATATTATGTTCCTGAATTTTTTTTCAAAAGTAATATTTGACAGACATTCAATATGTGCCATGACCACATTGGAATACGTGGTTTTATTTTGAGTTGGAAAGTAATTCTGATCGATCAGAAATATGAAACTACAGTGACCACAACAAGCAAACACATTTTGTATATGATAAAACATTACTCTGTTTTTAAACCTTTTTATATGTATTTGTTCCTTCGAATGATATCCCCGATCGCGTCACGCCGCACCAGACGACGAGACGGGCGAGTCCTCAGAGTCTGCTGGGGAGTCGGACAGCGATGACAGGGACAACAAGAAGCCCGTCAGGAGGTCCAAGGCGCCCAGGACCACTGCTGCCGCCACCGCCGCGGACAGGAGAGGGACCAAAGCAGCCGTGGCCAGGGGCGGCAGAACAAAGGGCGCGGCACGTGGAGCCAGGGCGGATGTTGGGCCAGATCCTGCACCTCGACAATCACCGAAACGCAGCCCCCCGCCTGTCCTCAATAAAGCCAGTGTCACAGCTCGTGCCACGGCATCGCGTAAACCCAAGTGGGTTCCTCCAGGTAAGGAAAAAGCATCGGACCACGACTGGCACAAGCACACATGTTTCTAACTCCCATTGATTATCCATTCTTTCACGTTTTCCCATGATTAAACCATTCATGAATGTGCCTGATCTCCACTGGGTCTAGGAAGCTCAGCAGGTGTTTGAGCCTGCTTAGTACCTTGATAAGTGATGACCACCAGAGCTTTCCAGGTGATGTAGGTGTGAGACTGCAAGATGGTCTGGACGTGGCAGTGCTGAGTGTTGTTACCTCATATGCGAGACTCACGACGGAGCGGAAAACACGAGGGCGTCCACTGCGGAGATGGAGCGAGGATATCGGAGTGTGTGCTAGATTCATCGTTGTGTGAGTGTGAGGGATGGCGACAGCTTGGGGAGGCCTTCATCTAGCAGTGGATAGAGCATGTCTGATGATACATACGATATGCTAATGGTGCAGACTAAACTCTTCAAAGGAGGCAGAAAACACAAAAAGATAATATGTTTTCGAATCGAATTGTGACTCCAAATAAAGACATTCTTCTAATTAAATTTTGATTTAAAGCTTTCGTGACTGCAGGGATTTATATATTTTTTTATTATTTTATTGTTTCCCTTCTACGTGACTTTACCGAAAGAACCAAGAATATTTCTTCTAATTACTTTGGAGGAGTCAATGGTCACATGGCAACTAAATATGTGTAATCCTCAGAGCAAATAGAAATTGTATTTTTTTAAACCCCGATAGCTTGCAGTCCTTTGATTATCCGCTCATGGACGAAGGCTCCTCCATGCCACGACAGTCACCAACAATAATAAGGATGACTTAAAAAATATTAAATGTGAGTTAGCATGTGTTACTCTCGTAGCCTAACCCCAACAACATCCTTTAACCACCCGTCGTGCGATCAACATATTTCACATCTGAATTTCCTTTTCTGCTCAATTACAGCTGCAGCGAGTAAAAACAATGGCCTGTCACCGGGCACAACAAACCAATCGCCAGGTCCGACCTTGCGTCTTGGCCTCTCGAAACGAGCCAAGCTGACGCCACTCCACCCCGGTTCTACGTGAGACTGCCACGGACCACCACGGCCCGCCACAGCCGCCAGCCACTGATTCTTTCCACATGCCATGGACTGTCCCACAGTCAGCCAACTAAGCCATTCCACTTGCCACGGTCTGCCACTGATGCATCGCCAAATACCAAGCACTGCCACAGTCTGCCACTGAACCATGGATTTGTCTGGGACAAGCACTGACCCATGCAACTGCCAAGTGCTACTACCACTGACAGCCCAAGTGCAACTCAACTTGCCATTACTCAACATATACAAGACCTGCCATGCCTCAATAGGTATGGTCTGCTGTAAGCTAACCTGACTTGCCACGAGTGCACTATCTGCCTTACAAGCGACTGTAGAGATTGCCACAGCCCGCAGTGAGGTGACTGCTATCTGCCTGCAGCCACGGTCTAAAACGTGGCTGCGAGACTGACTTGAACCACCACCGAAGTCAACTTCACCTGCCATGGCGTTTCCCTGGCTGCCCTGACAGCTGAAATCTGAAGCACGGTTTAACAGTGAAATCCCTTTATTCCATTTTAATAGCACGTTTTTTTTAGCACGTGGTTGAAAATCATCTGAATAACTTAGTTTTAATGATTTTTGTTCGAGTCTGTAGAGCAGTTTAGTTCTGAATTTTGCATACTGTTATATACCACGAGTATTTGGTGTAAACTTTGACGCAAGACCGGTTATAATTCCGTATGACGTCGCGAGATATTGCCTGGACTCTCACTCGGTTTCGGGAAACTAGAAATGTTTTCATCCTGGGCTCATTGCACAACTCTCAACCCATTGTCCTGAAATTTAAAGATGTGACCCAAAACTCAAACGGCTGTTATCTTGCAGCTACATACCGAGATTGTGATCCCAGGACACGCAGCCGAGGTATGCGTCTGCAAGAGAAGAGCTACAGATTTTCCTCGCATTCCGTGGGTTCGGTTCGTGCGATTTTGCGCTGTACATGGGGCGAGCCTATTTATACCCAAAATTCGTTATATGCGGTTTCAATTCACTCATGTGCAGCTGTGCGGTCGGACGTGGGAAACATTGTGTGCGTGTACTGTACACGCTACTCGGCAGGGCAGCTGTATCCTTGTGCGGTTTTGCTTTGTGTGCCCTTTTTTGGAACGCATCTACTACTACTACCGCACAAATCGAGGAAAACCTGTACTTGTTATTTTTTACTTGCATCTAGAAGGGTTTAGGGGTCTGGATGCAATGTGGCTTCGTGCTCCTTTACCACAAGACATTCCAAACTCCTGCCCTCAGAAATACAATCCACGTTTTAATATACTGTATACACAAATAAGATTAGTGCAGCAACAGGTAAAGGGTTTGTTTGTATTTTCATGGAGAAGACCGGCCAATGTATCAAGCTGGACTGTACAGGGGCCCGAGATGTGGACTTTGAATGTCGTATCTTTTATAAGACATTGCATAAGAAAACTGTATTATGTCAGTCTATATAAAGCAATTCGGTTGATTAAAAAAAACGGTTTTTAATATGGTTCGTGAGTGAAAAAGGAAAATCTCGACGTCAGTGGCCTCAAACGGTTGTTGTGATGGTAGTCAAGGCAGCTGTGGCTGAGACCTTGCTAATGCTTTACCTATGGTGAGTCGCCTCTCCGTGGAGCTGATACGATGTGCTGTGTGCTGGGCATGTACATTGTTCCATCGATTGACATCGATTAGGGTTACCTACATCGATTTCAGCGTTATAAAAATGTGTAACTGTTTACGTAAATTACCTGGAAATCATATACTCGTGGAATTTTTGTCTAATGGAACCAGCAAGACGTGACGGAATACAAAATACGAAACAGGAAATATAGTAAATGAGTATTCAAGCGACAAAAAAATAACAATTTCTTGAATCATAATCATAGCTCGATTCCTGACAGTTCATTAAATGACTGGCAAGGTGAATCGTACTTGATACACACACAAACATACTGGATTACCGCTCCGTTTTCGGCTTGTCGTGCCCGCGAAAGAAGCTGTTTGCATGGTTGCGTGATTTCGTTTTCTTTTTCGTCGTGCTCATTTGCTGTGAACGTGTGCGAAATGGGCAACTAAAGCCACGTTGCAGAGTTCACCATGGAAACGACAAACTAATCAAAACTGTCATTTTGTTGTTGCGTGGCACGAAGGATGAGAATCCACGATCGCTCGCCAGTGTTTTGTCAGGCTTGGCCGCGTGTTGATCGGCATGATGTCCGATGTTTCACTGCACGTGGTACAAGCCGAAAACGCGCGAGAGAGCCACACAGCAGCATAATCGCGGAAACCTACATTGCTCCCGCACAACTGCACAGAAAAGTGTGCGGGCATGGGCATAAAATTGTCTTCTGATAACACAAAAGAGATTGATGTTTCCAAGTGGTATTTATTTAAGTTGCGGCAACCTTGTACCTCCGTTATAATCGTACTTGTAATCCGCCCAATTGTATAATAATTTATTTACCCGAGGCAGCCTCAACGAATCTTAAAGTGTTTGCTTTTTGAGGGTCCTACATTGCAATGTTTTGCTATTTCATGAATATTTTTTTGTCACGTGTGGAAGACGTTAACAGCTGAAAGTATCATCGTTTTCATACGCTGTTATGATCCAATGACCAATGGTGTTGCGCATATCTGTGCTTGGAAGTCCATGTCGCTCTGAAATTCCACATTCCCATGGCAGGATAGTGCGAATGATAACAGAGCCCTTCTAAATCATCACGTTCAGCCTGTATGCCTGAATTGTACTTGCAAATCATCCATTGGCATGCCAAATATTAACTTGACCGTTTACTGTACGGTTTCCTCTGTACTGCGACTACATCTTAAAACGCTGTACACACAACACGGACGTGCACATAGTGGGAACATGAGACAGATATGGTTATTTAGGCTGTATTCAGTGAGAATGGGAGATGGAGGAGGAGGAGACGTCAGGGAAGAGAGGGTAAGAAGGCACTTCATTGGGAAGTCATGGACAGAAGAGAAGAGAGTGGCATTCAGCCTGCACCTGAACACTTAAATATCACCAAAGCAGAAAAGTATAAATTCGACATTTTCTGGATATGTTTGCATCATTTATACTTTTGGGTCCCAGTATACGCAGACTCCTCAATGTTCATATACTCAGTGCCGTTTTCCGAAGGGGCCACACCCCTTGCTGTTTAGTTAAATAAATGCCGCTTGGGAAACATTGGTCAGTCAGCTGGACGACTTGACAAACTCAACTTAGTTTCCTTTCAGCGACCGAATCCCCTGAGCCCTTTAATGTACTGTATTATCAATTGTGTGAACATCTTTAAAAGCATGTTTTATTATCAATGAATATATTAAATTACACATGCGTCTTGTAATGAAGAAGAGGTATTTGTGAATAAAACGTGTTTATTGGCGTTGTTGAGTGTTTAGTAATTATTTTCGCTTGTGGCAGTCAAATGCATCTGTGCGTGTGCAATTATATTCATGCAACCCGCATGTCCAGCCACCGCATGCCGAAGCAGCTTCTGTTCGGCTGGATAGACGGCAGTGGCACGGGCTAGAGAAGCGATGGCCTGATGTGGAAGGATGTGGAGTTGATTGGACTTGTCGATGACCGGTACCAGTAGTGTCAAGATCGGCCACAGTGGGGGAGGTTCGTGAAGAATGCTGCTGGGGAGTAGGGGGCAGTCTCCCTTCAGCCACAACGGGGGTAAAGGAACGACGCTCACAACCACAAGCAGAGCGTCGGGTGGCTAAAACATTAAGAGAACTGGCACAGTGGGGAGCACAGTCGGTGCATCTGCCAGTCATCTCAGTTGACCCATGGCACCAGGGTCTGTTCCGTGACCTCCTGTCAGCGGGCCTTCGACACTTCACGTGACCTCAAGGGGGCACCTAGCATGGCACAAGCGCCGTGGTGACGTCACCGCCACTTAGTCGTGAACGGCGGCTGGTATATCCACCTGCACGCGAAAACTCGATATGGATTTTGTTGCCTCAATTGGAGCTATGAATGAACTACAACTGATTCTGACATGGGGACTGCGAGCATCTCTAATTCACCTTCCGTGAGATGTGTATTTTTTGTGAATTTGCCCCAATTCTATCCAATTGTGCTATCGGAATCGTGTTATGAGACCAAGTGTCCATTTGGATCTTGTCGAGCAGTGGCACCCCTTCGTATTCGAGAACGGCCCACAGAACGGCGGAATCACATGGCTAACCTCTAAGATCCCTTCAAGTGACGTTATAGGGTAGTACTTTCTCAGCCACCCTGCCACATGAGTACAATAGCGCTAATCCCGTGATAGTAAAACCAATTTTTTGAAATCTCAAATCTTAACAATGGCTAAATCAGACGCAGAAACACATTTCTAATGATGGGGTGTTGTGTGTGTGTGCATTGATGACTGGCCTGACACCATCAACTCACTACACTTGTGAATGCAGTTTAATCACGGACGGGCTGGCTGAAACTCAAGACTCAAATTCAGCTCAGCTCAACAAATATCCCCGAATTCTTGAGCCCATCCAGCATGTCACCTATCACGTGGTGTCACGCTATAAAAATGTGAACGAACATCTTTTTTCCTTCTACTACGCGGGGGAGTGACGGGTTTACCTTGTTTACGTTTACACGTGTGCGCTCGTCACCTTTCCACTTGGCGTTCAGAGAGAAATCCCCCACCGCTGTCATCGGTCGAAAACGTCAGCAGTGACGCTCAGCGCAACGAATGGCTATTGGTGCGAAATTCTACCCCTCCCTACGGTGAAAAAGCCAGACCTTCGTTGGCTATGGGCAACGACTTAGAACGATGATAGCGATGCCCGTTCGTTTTACCCAGGATAGGCTCACCGAGTCTCAAGACTCGTTTTTTTAACGAGGGTCCTGCTAACAATTAGGATGTTTGGCCAATCTCCGTATCAAATCGATCGGTCCATGGCATGCATCGTTCCACCCGTAATAATGTGCGGTAAGGTTTCACCAGCCTGCAATGACAAACGTGGGTGAAGTATGGCGAAATAACCCCCCCACACACACACACCACCTCATGCTCCGCACAGCGTAGGGAAACCCTCATGCAGCAGCGGATTTACAAACGGGCCACCTTGGCAAATGGTGAAGGTGTAACACAGACAAATATCTCCTCCCCCCCCCACTCCATAACATCTGAAACAGACGGTTGAAGCAAGTGCTGTAGGCCGGCACGGCACTACGAGGGGGTGGGTGGCTTAACAACCAGGCCCGGCCGCCTTTGTCTCCCCAGTGTTGATGTTTACACATTTTAAGACAGGAGTCGACCTCAGGGGGTTCGGTCAGGACCACTTCGGATATATTCGTCACCGCTGCTGGTGGCCGTGAGCGGGGAATCGAATTCTGATCGCCGGGTTCGTTGGCGCAGTGCCGATCACCCCCAAAGCAACTGGGTGAAGGGGTCGGCTCTTGAAATTGACTGCTTCGTGAACTTATTCATTAAGGACGACCCTCTCGTATTCACCACCACAGTGCATTGCGGCTTTTGAAATATTGATTACACGCATTTTTTTTTTACACCGCATTCGCAAACAAAAACATGCTCTCCTTGTTATTTTATGTTTTCCGATCTCCCCTGGTCTATGATTATAACGACGACGTCATCACTACAATCAACACCAATTGTCGCGGCTCACGACTTGACGTTGCTGCTTGCTTAGTGACAACAAGAGTTTGTTGTCAAAGGTGGATGACCCACCCACCCCCCCTCCTTACCGGAGAGAGAGGCTGTAATGTCCCAAGTCGTAAAACCTCCGTCTATAAACCGAGTTTCGCACGGGGCAATGTCTTTCAACCTTTGCTACACGGAAGACAGCAGTCCGGCCCCTCTAGACGTGCTGTCTGCTTGCTGCTGCTGAGGCTGATGGTGGTGGTGGATTGGGCTTTCGCAAGATTCTGTATTGCTCTCTCATCTGCCAAGAGATGCTGAAAGAGAAAGAAAACACCAACGCCCAAGGAGACACTTGCGACACGTCACGCGTGTGACAGATCACATAGGTGGCACAGGTGTGCATATATAGACCGAGAGGCTGGCGAGCTGCTTCAGTATAGCCCGTGAACAAAACAAAACGCTGCCTCTGTTTAAGCGTGGCAGAAAATAAGAAGTATTTATATACACACTGCAAACTGCAGAGTTAAGATGTCTCTCAATCAACTTGACCAAGGCTTTGGGAAAACTACGCTCTTTGCTGACAGGTGAGTCCTCACTTCGTCGAACAACCCTTAATCCGTTCTGGAATTATATATTGTTGGTAAAACAAAGTTATACGGAGGTAAAGGCGCAGCCCTGCAATTGCTTCCTCGGGCCACTGCTGGTGGAAGAAGGGCCTCCTCCACTTGACAAGAGCTCGAGTCTAGAGAGGAGGGTTGTTTGGCCTACTCTTCCACGCCGGCCTGGCGTCTTGGAGAGTGGCGGGAGTCCCCACGATTTACGTGACCGCGCGTGACCCGCCGATCGGCCGCGGTGTTTACACTGCTGGGTGGATAGATGCGATTGTAATGATCATCTTCATCAACGCGAATGGATTTGTTTGGTGTCACTCAGGCTGAAGTATGACGATTTATAATGACGACGAGTGTAATTCATGCTGTAAAGTAAACCTCGCGTCTGTCTGCACGGCAACGTCTCAATAAATACCATAGGCTTTATCAGGTGACTCCACTGTGCCCGCAGTGTTAATGGAGAGAAAAACGTAACCCAAAGCAATTGTAACTTGATAGTATTTTTTTGGTCATTAACGAAGCTTCAAACTCAGGTGGGGCAACAGCCCGTTTAACTATCCTTCTCGCCTGCACCGTCTCCCCGTGTGCAGCGTCTTTCTCGTTTGTATTGTCTCGTTTGTATTGTTTGTCTCGTTTATATTGTCTGTCTCGTTTGTATTGTTTGTCTCGTTTGCAGTCTGTCACGTTTGCATTGTCTTTCTCGTTTGTATTGTCTGTCTCGTTTGTATTGTCTGTCTCGTTTGTATTGTCTGTCTCGTTTGTATTGTCTTACTCGTTTGTATTGTTTGTCTCGTTTGCAGTCTGTCACGTTTGCATTGTCTCGTTTGTATTGTTTTTCTCGTTTGCATTGTCTGTCTCGTTTGTATTGTCTTTCTCGTTTGTATTGTCTGACTCGTTTGCATTGTCTGTCTCGTTTGTATTGTCTGTCTCGTTTGTATTGTCTTTCTCGTTTGTATTGTCTGACTCGTTTGCATTGTCTGTCTCGTTTGTATTGTTATTCTCGTTTGCATTGTCTGTCTCGTTTGTATTGTTTGTCTCGTTTGTATTGTCTGTCTTGTTTGTATGGTCTGTCTCGTTTGTATTGTTTGTCTCGTTTGTATTGTCTATCTCGTTTGCATTGTCTGACTCGTATGCATTGTCTGTCTCGTTTGTATTGTCTGTCTTGTTTGTATTGTCTGTCTCGTTTGTATTGTTTGTCTCGTTTGTATTGTCTATCTCGTTTGCATTGTCTGACTCGTTTGCATTGTCTGTCTCGTTTGTATTGTCTGTCTTGTTTGTATTGTCTGTCGCGTTTGTATTGTCTGTCTCGTTTGTATTGTCTGTCTCGTTTGTATTGTCTATCTCGTTTGCATTGTCTGACTCGTTTGCCTTGTCTGTCTCGTTTGCATTGTCTTTCTCGTTTGTATTGTGTCTTGTTTGTATTGTCTGTCTTGTTTGTATTGTCTGTCTCGTTTGTATTGTCTATCTCGTTTGCAGTCTGTCTCGTCTGTATTGTCTCGTTTGCATTGTCTTTCTCGTCTATGCTCTCTATCCTTTGTTCTGTATCGGAGTTTTCCCGTCTCATGCGTTCCATTCACTGAGATAACACATTTGCATTTCCTTGCATATAAATCGCGCGGCGTGACACGCGGCACTCACTTCTTGAGTAACGCAAATTGATTATGACAATCGATGGCCGTACCCTGTGCACAATAATGACAGAACTACATTCTCATCGATTGTTACTGCGTCGTCGGTGAAACCTTGCCCTTTGGTGGCCCCTGCTGGTATTGCTTCAGATGCTGAGCAGAACGAGCCACAGAGGAAAAGGATGCGTGTGAGATGGGGTTTTTTTTTCTCAGAATTCCTGTTGGAATGCATCTAAGTGGAAACTTTTCATGACTTTCCCATTCACGATGGAGGCTGGTTGTAATTACCGGCGAAACGTCTTTACTCGAATTGTAAATGTTGTGGATTTACTCTCCAACACACCGGTGTGTTGAACTAGTAACGATTTTGGCATGTCTTGTTTACATGACAAACCTTACTAATTGGCAGTGTCGGGTGGTGATGGTGGGTTTAACGACACATTTATATTTACACGATCTAACCCAAAAATCCTCTTATGGATAATATTGGTCGCAAAAGCCTACGTGTTCAACTTTCCAATTCAAGTTTCCTTAAAAAAGTGAAGGAAGACCCTTGCACGAGGTTATCTGCTGGATTGGGATGCTTGGGCAATTAACTATAATGAATTGGCCAATACCACCTTCATGCATACATAGAGGACTGCAGAGCTTGGGGGAGGAAGGGAAAACTTGGTGCCTGGCTGCTGCCTATTCCCACTTGCCGGCGGCTCCTCCTTGTGCCTCTTGAGTCGTCCTTTCTCTCTTCAAGAGCGAGCAAATACTGTGCGGTCAATTACAAGTTCAAAACGTTCGTATGATTTCATACCATTATCATCCGTTATGTAAATTCGTCAACCCTTACTCCTTCCTTATTTTCTCTCCATTACCTCTCCCCTCCCTCTCTCCCTTCTATCCTCAGGTCCTTGACGTCGACGGGAGATGTGGTCGATCACCTGGGAGACGACAAGCCGAGCTCCTCGGAGTCTCCGCACCTGAGTCTGATAGCCTTGCTCCTGCGGGAGCTGGGAGATGACTTTCACAAGGAGTGCAAGCTAAGGAGGTGAGATGCAGTGGCATTTATATATAGACATATCCACACTGCATTGCTTTGCGGGCCTCTGAATCAGAATCTTTATTTAGACTGTAAGAATCCGATGAGCTATGCAGCTTTTTTTCACAGTTGTCCAGTTGGGGCGGATCAGAAAGTTACAAGAACCAATACAAACTAAGCAAGTCACTAAATAAAAATAAAACACGTAAGTACAAATTGCATAAGCATATCAATTCCTGTCAATTTTTCAAGACCAAATGCAATCTTGGCCAAGGTAGCAAAACAAACACAGTCCCAGATTACACCAAGACAACACAAAGTCCCTCAGTAAAATAAAAAGTTAACCACCGATACATGATTAAGGATGAAAGTTACAAATGACCATTTGGAAATCCGGGCCTGGCTAAGGTGCGATGTCGTGGCATTTAGACACGATGTATAAATTCACATTGTATGTGTAACGCAGACCTAACTTGTGCACGACTCTTTCCCCCGCTAGGACGTGTGGTGTCAGGGCTGCCCTCTGTGTCCCATGTTCCGTGATTTCCCAAGGGACGCTACTGCTGCTCTCCTCCTGCAACCGGATTCTGCAGGTATAACTTCACCTGAGTTCCCATCGTCCTGCAACCTACACCAAACCATAAAATGATGGTCAAGCCCATCAGAGCTCAGACGGAGGTTTCATCCTTGTTAGTTTTTTGGACGGGTGGTGACCATCACCGGGGCTTGCCAGGTGTTTTTGGCGTTGGGCTGCGAGGTTGTGGCCTTCGGATGGCAGTGCCGAGCCGTAGGTTTTCTCTGGGTTCCCCAGTTCCCTACGACATGAAGCCAAACTCACGTTCATGGAATTGGCCAAACATCCTAATGCAATCAGCACCAGCCATCAACATGGTATTGGGATTTCGATTTAAAGCTTTCGTGACTGCAGAGATTCATCTTCTGGGTTCTTTCGGTAAAGTCACGTAGAATGGAGATAAAATAATAAAAATAATAACAGAATAAAATTCTCACGACGTTTCGGCCACAACACAAGTAGCCTTCCTCAGGTGAAGAAACAGGACTGTCCGGAAGACAGCGCTTGAGTGAACCCTGCCAAGCTTGGAAGCGTCTTTTAAGCTGTGTGGAACAGAGCGCCTTGACAAAGGAGTTTAGATATAAATTAGCATGTAACTGGGGGATTAGCATGCTAATTAGCATGCTAACTGGGGGATTAGCATGCTAATTAGCATGCTAATCCCCCAGTTACATGATAATTTATATCTAAACTCCTTTGTCAAGGCGCTCTGTTCCTCCCACACAGCTTAAAAGACGCTTTCAAGCTTGGCAGGGTTCACTCAAGCGCTGTCTTCTGGACAGTCCTGTTTCTTCACCTGAGGAAGGCTACTTGTGTTGTGGCCGAAACGTCGTGAGAATTTATTGTTATTATTTTTATTATTATTTTATCTCCATTCTACGTGACTTTACCGAAAGAACCCAGAAGATGGTATTGGGACTCGGTGAGGCTTTCGTGAATAAACAAATAATATCAATTATTATTAATGGAGACAACATGGTACATATTCCTTTTAAAACTCTTCAGTAAGCATCGATTAAGGCCATCACGATAAGGTGGGTGGGGGTGAGCTGGTGGAGAGGGGGAGCGTTAAATCGTCAGACAGCGAGTTATCGGCGTTAACTCTCGCTCACTCAATTGGAAATCTTTGCCACCCTCTTCTTTCCAGTCGCGGTTCAGCTGAGCGATGGGAGTCTACACGGCGGCACCGCTCTTCGACTGGAGGCCAAAGAAATGATGGCGGTTGCCGGTGGCGTAGCGTTTGGTTGGCACGGGCCCCTGGTGCAAGGAACGACAATGGGGGATCCCGTACAATATTCCGCCCCACTCTTTGCGGCCCGGCGCCTGGGTCTCAGCGCAGTTGCACTACCTGCACACTCGACGGCGACGCCACCGGACGGCATTATGGTTCATTCCAAGACGGCAGATGAACAATGACAACTTCAACTCCCTATTCATATTTATAATTGTTTCGCCCCATTTTTGCCTCCGA